AATACAAAAAATACTTGAAAAACAAAACGGTATTTAATAATAAATTCTTTTGAAATGAAATCACATTTCTAAATAAACAATATTGTAATAAATTTTTCGAAAACATGATTTTAATCGGTAGTATTTTAAAAATATCATTTTTTTAATTTACTGAATTTGTTCTTTTCTTCTAAATTGTCCCATTATTTCAAATTTAATTCGGAAAAAAAACGTTAGTTATTTTATTCATCAAATGGTATTTATAGATTTTAATATATTAGAACTATGAATATATCAGAATTCCAATCATTTTTAGTTTGGTGATAAATTGTAGTCGACAATGTCAAGAGAAAATTATGTTTGAGTTCAATTTCCTGTAGAGTGATTTTAATTACCTGGAATTTATGGCAGAAATTTGGATTTACTCCAGATTCGTGTTTAGAATTTTCGCCAATTTCCGATATAGGGGGAACTTTTGAAAAAAATGAAGATATTGACTATAAATGCTTTTACCATCAAAAATCGTAAATTTAGAAATTGGCAAAAAAAAAAAAAATTAGATTGGGTTTGATTTACTACACACTGAAAAAAAAATTTATTTGATTCAAATACAGGTGTATTTGGTTATTATCAAATAAATATTTACTTGAATCAAATATTTCTTATTTGAATAAAATATTTCTTATTTGAATCAAATATATAATATTTGAATCAAATATTTCAGTATTTGATGCAAATACCATTTATTTGATTCAAATAAGAAATATTTGATTCAAGTAAATATGTATTTGATAATAACCAAATACACCGGTATTTGAATCAAATAAATTTTTTTTCCAGTGCAATATTATTAATAAATAATAATATAATAAATATTAGTGCTCACTGATGGTTCAAAATTGCCATTTCAAATTTTTGGGGTTCAAACACGTTGACGAGAATTCTCGATCACCAATTGCGTTGTCATTTCGTATTCTGAGAATAAAATCCCTCGAGTCTTTTGTCATTTATTTATTTATTTATTAAATATTAATTTTGTATATAAATTTCCTCGGGAGAAAATAATCGAATAAAATGACGTTTGCTTTGAGAAAAGCAAGGGTGTTCAAAATAATCCGAGTTGCTCTATAAATACAATACGACATTCAGTTCTGTGTGGCGCGTCGCGATGTTCAGTCGTTCTTTAAAATATATATATATAAACTATATCACGTTTCAAAAGTAATGCAAACACATTGTCTTTAATATGGTCCATAATAAAATCATCAACCCTTGTGTCACGTGGTGCTTTCAAAACAAACAATTCAGAAAATAGTCTCAGCAGTGTGAAAGTATTTTCAAATGATTTATATAGTGTAAGTGAATAAAGTGTTATGTTTTTTTAAAGTGGATTTATAAGTGGAAATTAAATTAATGTTCGGGAAGTAATTAAAGTTTCACGATGGAAAAATTAAGTCTCGCTGAAGTGTCGCGGAGAAAAGAAAAAAGACGTCGTAGAGGGTGGACTGTTGTTGTTGGACCGGAAATTCGGTGAGTTTATTAAAGACGATTTTTTTTTTATCTGATGACATTTTTGATATATTTTATGAAACGAAAGAAGAATTTTTTGAAATGAAAATAATTTTTGAATAAGCGCTAATCGCCGGGTTGTTACTGAAACAAATATCGTTTTTGATATTGAACGCTTCTGTCGGTAAATGTGAAAATCATTGTGTCCGATTGTTCACATCAAAGTAGCGTGTCGCCATCTTTCCGAGATAAATTTCAACTGTTTATAATATTTTTAAATGTAAACAATATATTTATTTTACTTTTTCAATTTTTAAAAAATTTATTGTGTTTTACTTTTTTAATACTTTTTTCTTCTTTCGAATTAGTATTTTATTTTACAATTTATTTATTTTTTAACTAGGAATTATATTATTTATCTATATTTATATTAAGAAACAATATAAATAAATTCAAAAATATTTATTGATAATATTAATAACAATTTTTTTTTTACTATTTTTTAAAAAAATCGAGTGAATGAAATCGAATCTATATTTTGTTGTAGATATTTTTAAAAGTCAATACGAATTTCAGAGGGCAAAAACTTCAATCTATTTCGGGATAAAAGGACACTTATAGACCTTTGTAATTTATATTTTTTCGCCTTCAGCGAAAGCTCTCAATTTGTAAGGTTCGTTTCTCAAAATGCTCCCATGGGAGTTTGCCATATATGTCTTTTTACTCTTATATGACACGTGCATTAAAAAAAAAGATAATTAAACTATAAAAAATCACGTAACAAAATCAATTTTTAATTTATAATAATAAATTATTTTTTTAATTTATAATAATCGTGAATTATTTTTATAATAAAAATTGACAAATTCATTTTAATTTTTAAATAATCTTTATTAATGATAATGAAATTAAAATTTGTTCTTTTGATAATTATTTTAATTATCTACTTTTTATTTGCAGAAAAAAGAGTGCTTGCGTGCATTCTAATTTCTTTCATAAATTTTTATGAAATTGTTTATTTTATTTTATCGCTTAAATTTATTTTACCAAAAGAATTTTTTTTAGCCACTTAAAAAAAATGTTTGCAAAAAAATTAAATTTAGTTAAATTTCAAAGCCATTTAAAAAATTCTTTTGGTAAATGGAAACTTGCAAATTGAAGTTGAAAATGATTGACAAATCACTGCGGGAATGTGTTATATTTCCAGGATCCCTTAATTAAAATGTTTCAAAATATTATACACGATGAAGAAAAATCTTTGTCATTACTTTTAACACATGGCCCTTGTTAATTTTGAAGATCTTTTATTTTTTTGCCAGCAATTTTTTAACATTTCGGGTCGCTTGGCGAATGAGGTCAAAGAATATTGTCAGAGAAAAGATGTGAAAATATAAATTTTTTTTTTTCACTGCTTGAATCATAGTACTCACAAAATTAATATATGTAAAAAAAGAATTTTCTTAAAAAAAATGAGAAATCACATATTAGTTTTTTGAAAATTAAATTATGTTTCAATTTTCTTAAGAGGGTAAATTTTGAAAATATAGTACAACATATATAATTTTCATTCTCGAAAATGAATTTCGTTTTCATTTCTTCTTTATCCTTTTATTTTAGAAAAAAAGTGTTGCTTCCATGTGAGTATAATACAAAAAATTCATTTTCTTTATAATTTTCAAAAATAAATAATTTTTAACGAAAATTTGAATTCATGGATTTAGCATATTTCTCGTAATTTTCATTGACTCTTTTATTATTTTCGACTTGACTCATGTAGCATAACGGACATTGAAAGATTTCTTGGCTCTGCTTCTCTAATTATAAATGAAGATTTAAAGATTTCCTTAAACTCCAATTAAAATACAACTAAAATTAATGATAATATTTCTTTAATTAATTTAAAACAATTTCTTCAGCCAAAAATAACTCCCATTTCATGTACAAAAAAAAAATTGTTTTAAAATGTAAAAATTGTTCTCTGTTCCAAATAAAATCCTCAAAAGTCATCAACTGGCAATATTCCAATTAACAAAAAAAAGAAGGAAAGAAATGAAACAACTTTACACTCGAATAAATATTTCAACAGATAGAAATTTTATAATTTTGGGAAAAAAATTATTTTGTAAGAAATGTGTGTAATATTATTTAAATCTTTTTTGAATATGAAATAAAAATAATGGAATAAAAAATTATTATTCTGAAAAAATTTTTATTATCTGAGAATAATAATGTATTTTATTAAAAATTATCTCTTATCTTTCAATGTTATCACGATTTACATTCTCGTGTATTTTGTTTATACATTATTACATCTTACTTAAGCGCTTCAATTACTAGGTAAATTTAATTTACAAAGAAAATTTTTCAGATTAGTATTTCCGTTCTTCTCATGTAAATTTTCATAAAAATTTTGAAATCTCAATCTTTAGACAAAAAAAAAATAATTTTTATTAGATACAAAAACTTATCTTTCTTATTTTAAAGATATTGTACACATTTTTTGCACTTTAATAAACTTATATAATGATTGTTGATACTATATTAATACTAATTGTTAATTATGATAGATTATATTGCAATTGAGATTTTTATTTTCAATAATAAAAAAATTAGCCGCAATTATTAAAATTTTTTTTGTTAAATATAATAAAGTAATTATTAATTAAAAAAGTAATACAGAATTGAAAAATAGAAAGACAGACGAGACAAAAATAAAATAGAATTTCCTTGTTGAATGTTAAACACCTTCAGAAACTATTTAGTATTCCAGAAAACTGATTTTCTAACTTCCAGAGTAATAATTTTCATGCAAAAGTTGAGTATTTTCATTCAAAAGTTGCCAACTTTTCTATATATGTAAGCTGCTAATTGAAATAATATTTTATGAAATTTATTCACTGAATATTAATATTAATATTTAATAATAATGTTGATAATTTTTAATTAACGACTTGTGAGGGAATATATAGGGGTCGTGAGTTTGATTCTCGGTACGTTTGAAAAAAAAATTTATTTAATTCAAATCGCTTAGTTGACTATTATAAAAATAAATATTTACTTGAACCAAATAATGTTTATTTGAATTAAATAAACTATATTTAGACAACCGAATTTCTGTATTTGGAACAAATACCATTTAATTGACTCAAATAATATTTAATTAGATATTTTTTCATTTAATTCAAATAAAATTTATTTGGTTCAAGTAAATATTTATTTATATTTAAATTTAATTTAATTCGTTCAAATAACCGATTATTTAAATGAAATAAATTTTTTTAGTTTAGTTTAGAGTGATAAAAATTTCTTTCTTCTTGAAAAATTTTCTCGAGATTTTGTGAATTTTAACCAAATAGCATTCATCATTAGCCGAATATTAGTTTGACTTGCATCAAATGTGTCATTTGAGTTGACAAGACCTTTCGCCATGCTCGAATGCTCGATGCAAGCAGAGAGAGCATGCCCGACAGAAGGCAAGCATGTTGGAGTGTAGGGCAGATGCTCAGTCCAATAGCACTCGCGATGTCGTTCGGATGTCCCTTCCGGTTCTCAAAAAACAAAAAAAAAATTTGCCTACCGGTCTTTTATTCCAATAATTATTTCTAAATAAATCGCGCCCACCTTTTCGAATTGTTTTGGAATATTTTCTATTTTTTTTTCTTCTTTTCTTATTGTTACAGTGAAACCATATTAAAAAAAAAATAAAAACACAGTGCATTCTGTTATAAAAATATAAAATTTAATATAATCAATGCAAGAGAAACCATTGTGAGCGCAGTGAATCTGTGACATTGTTCCCAATGGTCTCCTTATTGCCTTTCACTCTACTCTGTGCAGATTTTTATTAGCTGGTCCATATAATAATCTACCGGTAAGAATTTTTTTTTTATAAATTTATTAATCGAGCTTCGCGTTTCTTGCATTTTTTATTTTTTGCCATTTTTTTTTTTATGTAACATTGGTATGTTATGTAATATGTATGTGATTATTTTTTTATAATTTTCTTTCATATTTTGTATAAAAAAAATAATTTAATTTTGCTTCTATACATAAATTATATATCTAAAAGAATTGTTTATGATAAAGAAAATATTTGTTTACAAAAGTTTCTTTGATCAAAAATAAATTTTCTTTGACACAAAGTTACTTTTGTAAAGGTAAATAAAAATGTTTCATTAAGAACTATTTTTGTTAAATTTAAATTCAGGCCAAATTTTTCTAGAATTAAATTTATTTAAAAAATAATTGTTTTTATCAAATAAAATGAATTTTTTGAAATAAATAAATAATAGGATAAAAAATATTTCCTTTATTTTTCTCGTTGCAATATATAAAAAATATGTTACGTGTATATAAATATTTTTATATAATATTAAACATAAATATACCATGTTTTTTGTAAAAACAAGCAAATTTTCTTTAAAATATTTTATTTAGTTATTCGTATATTTTTTTAAAAAAAATATTTTCCTTATATTAAACAATGGAATGTTTAATGTAAATATTATTAAAATGCTTTTTTCCCGTATTGAAAAATGAGTAAAACAAGAGTGATTCAGTTAAGAATATTCAATAAAAAAAAAAGTTTTTATATTTAAAAAAAAAATAGAATATGGAAATATAATATGAGAATTTTTTTTTTTTGTTATCTCCATTTATTTGTAAAATATGGTAGCACTGATAAAATATTCAGGGGAAATTTATCAAATTTGAGAGAAACAGGAAATTGTCAATGTTTTTACATTTTTTTTTTAATATTTAAATTTTATTTGTTTGTATAATTAATTAATTTGTTTGTATAATTAATTTAATATTCTCTGAAATATATTTTTAAAATACAGAAAATTTCATTCAAAAATTTTAAATTATTAAAGTTATCAATATTTCAAATTTAATAAATTATTATTATTTTAATATAAATTTAAATTGAAAGGAAAATTAAATTAAAATTCTTATATTTTCAAAGACTTAAAATTAAAATTTCTATAATTCTTTTCAATATTTTCTCTTTTTTTTTTAATTACCTACTTTAGATTTTTTCATTTCGATTTCATTTTCTTCGAAATTTTTTTTCGACGATCTTTCATTTCTTTGTAATCTTCCTTTTGAAGATAATCTTCGTATTCTTGATGAAAAAACGGTAATTTAAGCATTTATTGAGTTAATAACTTATTCTTTGCTATAGGTAAATCAAATTTTTTTTATTTAGAATTAGAATTTTTGGATAAATAAATAATAATTAAATAAAAAGTAGTGATATCTTCAAAGTTAAATATAAATATATTTTAAATATTTTATCACATTTTTTTCATTATGTTTAATTTTCTAAAAATTGATTTTTAATTTACATTTTACCTTCTTTTTATCTTCTTTATAAATTATTGTTACAAATTCACTGAGTCATTTCTATGAAGTAGGTTTTTTTTTTTGTTGAAATTTCTCCCAAATTTTCTCTTCAATTTTCCTTCAATTAATTAATGTAAAATATTCGTAAAAATGCCAATTATGTATCGTTAACCGTACACCTGAGAAAAATGCAGTAGAGTTGTTAACCTCGAGCTAAAAACGTGGTACACGAGCCAAGTTTAATATTTACGACGAACATAGTATTTTTACTATAATATAATGTTTCCTTATAAAGGCACGTGTTCACTTTTTTCAGAGCGAGGCCGTTAGATGGTTATAATTTTTTTTTTATTTTCATCTGATACAATTATAAAATTCATCTATTTAATTTGTTCAATACGGAAAAAAGCTAAAGAAGTTTTCACTTTGTTAAATTCAATGCAAGAATTGCGAACGCTCGATAAAAAAAATTTTATTTCAAATGCTTGGAGTCGAATTCAAGGAGGTAGAAAAATTAAAAAATAAAAATATAATTGTTATCTTATATGCAGAAACATTATTTTTAAGGATTTCCCGGTTGGTAAAATCGTGTGTATAAAATTTTTTTTAAAGTGCTCTCTTTTTTTTCAAACCAGTAATTACATTAAAGCATAAATGACGTAGTGTTTAAAGTACCCACTCGCGCTTCAAAAAGCGTAATATTCAATTATAATTGAATAGGATTAAATGAAAAATTGTGCTTACTCATATTAATGAAATTGGAATATGTATTTATGCAAAAAAAATCCATTGATAAGAATAGCAGCTTTTACAATTATGAAAGTTGGACATTAACCTTTTACCTGTGCGAGAGAGAGAGAGAGGAGAGAGACTTTTTTCCACGACATAATAGCTTTATTGTTTATTGCCATTTCCTCGCTTCAGAGGAACTAAAGGTCATTCCTTTGAGCTTATGTAATAAGCTTCTGATATTTTTTTACATAGTGAAAAAATGCATAAAATCGATTACTAATATTTGGATTATTTCTATACTTTCTTTCTTTTTTTTCGTTATTTTTTTGCATTCATTATTTCTTTTTTTATTATTTATTTTTCTTCTCGTTTTGCTTTCTTATATATTCTTATAATTCTTTTTAGAAAATGGAGGACATATCATAAATATTCAATTGAGGGTATTTAAAATGCCAAGTTTGACAAAAATATTTACCTAACGAAAGAAAAATCAGCATTTAGATAGGTAACGTTTGTCGTGAAGGTTTTTTTTTCTTTTTTTTGTTTTGTTGAAAAAAATGAAACTCTCTTTGAGACTGTGAAAGCAGTTGAATAAATGGAAAAAGCTCGATAAGAAACAAAACAAAAGATGGTTTATAAGATCAAAAGAAATTTTCTGCTCGTACAAATATTGAATAATTGCACTAAAATATAAAACGCAAAGTTATTTAGCCTAATTTTACATAAGCAAATTAATTCTTTTATCATTTTTGAATATAGTTAAAACATTTAAAATTTACATTTAAATGTTTCTAAAAATTTTAATAATTGTTTTTATTTATATTTTAAAAATAATTATTTTCTTATTAATTTATTTATTTCACATTATAATACAAATAAATAATTTTTTATATTATTTTTTTTGTACTTTTATAGACTGGGGAAAAAATTGAATAGAACAGTTAGAATTTACACCTAATTGACAAAAGCAATTTTACACAGTGAAATATGTTGTCTAGAATTTGAAAAGATTTGTGCGACACGCAAATCGAACTGGCACTAAAAAGAATTCCGTGCCAACTGTGTAAATACTTCTTGTTCTTCTAGGTCGACCTTTGTCGAATGAACCTGTGAGCTAAAAATGAGAAATCTTTAGCTCGCGACTCGAAAGAAAATTTAAGAGCTTCGTAATTTTATTTGAAATGATCCGAAATGACACTTTTAGAGTAATTTTAACTATAACGAATATTAACAGGAATGTTGAGAGATTTGGTATTTCATATTTCATTTTCATTTTTGAATATATTTGACGAAGAAAAAAAGTTGAAATTATTTTCAAATATTTATTGTTTTTTTTTTAATTTAATTTTTTTAAAGCCGTTATGCAAAAGTGAACGATAACGCATTCCATATAAATACATTTACATTTAGAGATCCTTGAAATTTGATCTTTATCGCACTTGACTGCAATTCCCTTATCGCGTTTCGAGGTTTCATCAATTAGAATTTTTCTTTGTATCAAAAATTCCATTGGAATTTTATTTTAATTACTCCAAATTTGTTGCTTTTTCTATAGAAAAATTTCCCAATTAAAATATAATGATAATTTTTCAGCTGATGAAATTAAATTTTTTTTAATAATTTGTATTTTCTTTTTAGAAATTTTTTCTTCTGACGCAAAAAAATTATAAAATTAGATGTTGTTGTTGGAAATAATTTTCTAAAACTTGTTATATCAGTGCAATTATTTGCTTCCGGCGTTTCAGGGCAAAATTCCGAATCCCCTCGTTGAAAACGAAATGATATTTTCACTTCAATGATGAAGATTGAAACACGAATCGATTTATTTCAGTACTTTCTAGTCAAGTCACTTTTTCATATATACAGAATCATATACACTTGCGTCGAACCTGCAATCGTGAAAACACTTTCATTGAGGGCTACAAAAAATTAATGAACAAAAAAAAATGAAAAATAAACCCCCTAAAATTTCTGCCCCAATTACAAAATAAAAAATCATTTGTGCTATGAATTTCAAAAAATTTCTATCCATATTAAATATAGAAAAATCATTTGAAAATTGGAAAAAATTAATATTGAATTCACACTAATTTAAATGTATCAAGTTGATACCAAAAATATCAAATTGATACGAATTTTTATATTAATTTGATATTTTTGATATCAATTTGATACTTTTAAATTAGTGTGTTTGGAGAAGGAAGAAAGGAATTCGTTTTTCGAAAAATTGTATTAGGAATAAATTTTCGCAAGTATTTGAAAAATTCTAAAATTAGAAAAAGGAATTTAGAAAAACAGGAAATCGAAAATTGAATACAATTTATTAAAAAAATTTTGTTAATTTAAGATTTGGTTCAAAAGTCTCTTTGATAGTTGCAAATGAGGGCAGCGAGGTCATTTTTCCTTTTAACAAAGTTTTGTGTCGATATTTGTATAGGTATGTGTATATGTATATAGAAACTTTTTGGTTGAGAAACGAAAGGGTAGCAATTCGTGTAATGAAACAATTGACCGAAAAGCTGCCGGTTAAGTAATTTTCAACATGAATCACACACACACAGATCTAGAGGAATTCTAAACTAGAAAATGAGTTTCTAGCATTTGCATGTTCGCTTTTCTAATCAAATAGTTTGAAAATTGAGTAAGGAAATTTTGCCTGAAGCTCACACAGAAAGCAAGACATCAAGATCCGAAGCCTGAAAATGATAGAGAGTTTGCTTGGTAGTATAGTCAGAGCTTTTGATCGCTTGATCACCATACCGTAAGATGTTTTCCCCGAGGGAAAATTCTTAT